CCTGCTTTCATGATGTCAGGATGGGTCCCAAGAGCTCCAGGTTTCTACGTCTACATCTACCCTTATAGAAAGAGAGCGCCTTTCCCCTAATTGTTCCAGCAAACTCCCAGGGCAGATTCTGATTTCCTCAGTTAGGTTCATATACAGGCCAGTAATCAAACCAACCACTGTTGGTTGCCAGGGAGACATGGAATTCCCTGATTGGCCAGGCCCGTATCAAGTTGTCAGTTCCTAAATATAAGTATAGAATTAGCCCCGACACCCTATGCATTGAAAGGAAGAGGGCTGGTTTTCAAAGGAAAATCCAAGTGCAGGTATCAGAAGAGGGATGGATGCTGAAGAAGCAAATGCAAAAGATTATCCCTATGCAAGTGCTTCCCAGCTAGAATGCACATGAATCACCTGGGCCTTGTTAAAACACACATTCTAATTGGGGAGGTGGGGCCTGTGATTCTGGATTTCTAACAGCTTCCGAATGATAATGCTGCTGGTCCTCACGCTGGCCGCACTCAGAGTATCTGGGCACTCTGTCCCATTTCTAAATTCACTTCAAGCCACCCTATCATGGGGTTTTTGTGGTCTCCACCCTACAGAGAGGTCCTGGACTATATAAACCTCTTTCCTCTTCTCCTCCCACCCGCACTCCGTCCCATGGTTCCCAATGCACCCAAACATCAGTGCCATCTATTTGGCTACCACTCATCAACATATGCAGACTCTTCTGCCAAGTCACCATTGCAGAAACTGTCTTCTGTTTCATTTTGTGACCTTTATATGAAAACCCACATAATAAAGTCACTTTTGAATTAGTTCTCAGAAATACTTATTTCTGTCAACAAATTGCCATGCTTCCTGAGATTTCATGGTGGCAATGTAGGAGTTCCCGTTTTTACCTTGGCTACTAGGAAGCTCAGAGGTAAATCTAGTACCCAGTGGCAGTAGTGGTCACACCCTAGGCTTTCAGTTCAGTAATCTTTCCTTTCTAAATGGTGTAGCCTAACTCTTTGCGAAGGCTGAAGTGCTGCTCTGTATATGGTTTAATATTGTAAGTTCTCTCAAATCCTTTTTGGAAGTCAGTGCTTCTTTGGAACATTCTTGACTTTCTCCAGATCTTTATCAAAATTCTCCACAGTAACCCAGCTCATCATTATCCTGCTCCTCCATTATTATAAACAGGTTGCTTTTTCTATATACTAACATATGCATGTTAGTGGCAGTACCAGAGTATAAATACATTCACAAAAATGGCTTGATAGTATGTATGTTTTCCAGGTATGCTTTTTTGCCTCACTAAGTATCTTAGCAATCTTTGTATGGCTCTGCCTGTCTGTGCCAATCCTTACCAGCTTCTTTGCACGTGGCTTTGGAATGTAGTTCTCTCTGTCCGGTCTTCCCTCCTCGACTCGGTCCCTGGACCAGGACCCACGTCCTGACTGACATCTTCATGTCGGGCTGACTACTCAGAGCCCGGGCTCTGGGCGTGCATTTACTCACTCACCACATTGCATGCTCCCGCGGTGTGCTGGGGCGGGGGAGGGTGCTGAGCTAAGTGCTGAGGAACACAGACGTGAGCGGGCAAGGTCAGCATCCGCTGTGTGCAAGGATGAAAACGTTCTGTATTTGTGCAGCTGAATACAGTAGCCTTAGCCACAGGCAGCATTTGAGCACCTGAAACGTGGCAAGATCTGGGTTGTGCTGTACATGTAAAATACACAATGGGATGCGAAGTCTTAACGTGAACAAAAGAATATAAACTTATCCACTGCTATATTTTTATATTGAGTTAGCTGTTAATAAGAATTTTAACATGTTGGGGAAAATAAACATATCTAAAAATTCATTGACTTTTTTTTTTACTTTGAAGAATGTGGCTACAGAAGATTTTAAGTGATATATGTTGCCTCACACTGCCTTTCCAGGTCTGGCGGTCATGAAAATGAGTGTTTCCGAGGCCACCCCACTCCGGGCAGTGGAATGAGTTCTCCTGGGTTAGGGGTATAATCGCATCCTGCTGGGATATCACTTAAGAAAATCACAGTTGATGGTGCAAAAACTGAATTAATGGGAATTCTTATTTTAAAAGTTGAGTGTTGATGTCTATCTAAGCTTATGGGCCAAAAAGATTGCGATCTGTGCTTAATTTTGCTCCAGAGCAGGGTCCCGATGCTAATAAACAGAGATGATTACGGTTAACATTTCTGAGCACCTACTGTGTGCCACACACCTTTACACATACAGCTCCATGCTCTCTAGCATCCTCTGAGGTAAAACCCCACCGTGCTTTCTCAGAGGTGGCTTTGGATCATGCATGAGCTCAGGGCCTCTCTAGGACCCCGAGGCCATCATGAACACGCAAATTGTGACGTAACTGATAATTTACTAGGAGCTCAGAGAGGGGGGTGGAGCTACTGTGTCACACAGCAGTGCTCTTCCCTGAACGTCCTCTTGTTAATCACAAAATATGAAATGCAGCCCTGGCTGATGCAGCTCAGTGGATTGAGTGTGGGCCTGCAAACCAAAGAATCACGGTTCGATTCCCAGTCAGGGCACATGCCTGGGTTGCAGGCCAGTTCCCAGCAGGGGATGCACAAGAGGCAACCATACATTGATATTTCTCTTCCTCTCTCCTTCCCTTCCCCTCTAAAGATAAATAAATTATATTTAAAAAACATGAAATGCAATAGAATGTTATGCCACCCCAAACCATACAATATGCTGTTTTATTTTCCAGAAATGTGATATTTATCACAAATCAAAGAGGTGTTGTTGGGTTTCTATTTTAAATGCATACAGTACATCACAAAGCAGTAATTAATGGTAATAATCTTCTAAGTCAATGATCCAGCACTATTGGAGTGGGAATTCCTTACTTTTTCACAAAAAGGCAAATGCAGCACAAACCACTTAAATCCTGAGGTGGTAAATTGTCCCCAGTTGCACCAGGACAGGCAAAAACATCCTTGTAAATAAAAAAAAATTTTTTTCAAATAATTCCCCTCAGCCTAAGGATTTCTTTGGATTTCTTTCTCTTAAACCACAACCACATGTTTATTTTAACAAGATAAGTATAAATGAATTCTGTTTTAGGAGAAAATTTCAACTGTGCAGAGAAGAGAAAAACAATTACTTCTTTTTTTTTTAAGATTGTATTTATTTATCTTTAGAGGGGAAGGGAAGGAGACAGGGAGAGAAACATCAATGTATGGTTCCCTCTGTGCATCCCCTGCTGGGAACTGGCCTGCAACCCAGGCATGTGCCCTGACTGGGAATTGAACCTCGATCCTTTGGTACATAGGCCTGCACTCAATCCACTGAGATATGCCAGCCAGGGCTGAGAAAAACAATTACTTCTTTATGTGGCTACTCACAGCCTGTCTCCTCAACAAATGCTTGTGTGCATTTTGAGAACAGAGTGAAATATTTCTGCCACTTTTACAGTGAAGTCAGACTCCAATGTGTTTTCTTTAAGTGTCTTTAAATGAATTACTAAGCCCCTCAGCACAGTCTGTTCGCTCTCCTTCCAAAGGGGCCTGAATCTGCTTCTCAGCTCAGCAGCCACCACCGGGGGGCCGGGCCACCCTGCTGCTTTGCCTGAGCCACTGCAGTGGACCGGCTTCCTTGCCCTGCTCCCTGCAGTCCAACCTCAACCCAGCAGCCACTGGGATTATTTAAATTCAGCCCCATCCTTCTCCGGCCTAAAACTTCCCCTGGTTTCCCATCACCCGTAGAATAAAATCCACACCCCTCACTGGCTGTAGTGCCACCGTCTCCCCTTCCTGTGATCACCAGCCTCGCTCGCTCCCTTCCAGTATCTCGTTCTTTTGAAGCTCCTTCCAGGCTCAGGGCCTCTGCACCTGCTGTCCCCTCTGCCTGGAGCGCTGTTTCCTCCGAATGTCACGCGACTGGCTCCTTCGGGTCCTCCAGGCTCCAGGTCCGGCATCGCCTCCTCAGAGAGGCCGTCCCCAGCCACCCTGTCTCCAGAGGCCCCACGGAGCTGTTCCCTGTCACAGCCTCTTCCACTGTCCTCACATTGCTCAGTAACTGAGTCTGTCTTGTTATTTACTTGCCTGTTTATTGCCTGTGTCTCCCATTCATCTCCATGCGCCATCAGGGCATGAACTTACTTGTCTTACTCGTGGCGTAAAAAAGTGCTCGATACTGCTTTTGTGTATGTATTTGAGAATTCCCATATTAAAATGTTAAAAGAAAAAAAGCGCTCAATAAATGTTTGCTGAGGAAATGAATGAAGGATCAAATAAATGAGCCAAAGAAGGAAAAGAGAGAGAGAGAGAGAGGAGAGAGGAAGCTATTATAAAGCAATTATAAAATGATAGGAGGAATATGATGCCTTTATTATTTAGCTAGATTGTCTGAGCCACATTATGTGACCTTGTTTTTGTCATTTGCTGTAAAAACGGCAAATGTATTAGGTAATGTACTAGATAATAACAGTGCAGTTTTATTTTGCTGTTTGCTCTGTGCTATCTCCTCACCCACGTGATTTCTCTCATCTTCCCAACGCCCGGCGATGTCAATCGTATTGTCGCCCCCCCCTTTTGCTGATGAGGAACTGAGACTGGGGAGCAGGGGAGAGATGGGTGAGGCAAGGGAAGGGTGGGGTGGCCAAGCGTCGGCTCAGCCTGTCTGATCTCTGGGCCCACTGCGCCCACTGCCGCTCTCCCAGGATGCTCTGGGCAATCGATGACCCTCGTGATTGATTCTCTGAATGAATTCCCCATGGCCTGGGTCTTCGTAACATAACTACAGCAGTCTGTGAGCTCTGTGCTGGTGCTGGTTCATGTGGACGGGGGGAAGCCCAGAGTTGGCACGGACAGAGTGAGCTCCGTGTGGCAGGGGTAGGGAGTGCGCCAGCGGGGGAGGTAAGGTGGGAAGGAGAGGAAGAGCCTGGGGGGGCCAGCGTGGCTGGAGCACACGTCAGAGACTGCCCTGTGTGGAGCTCAGGGCCAGCAGGGCTCAGCCCCCTCTTCTCTCTGCCACAGGATGGGGTGCGTGAGGTCTAAGTTCCTCCAGGACAGAGGCAAGGTCTCCAAATCCGAGCCCAGTGCGAGCCCGCACAGCCCTGTGTATGTGCCGGATCCCACGTCCTCAGGCAAGCGGGTGAGTGGGGGACCAAGGGGGCAGTGGGAGAAGCGGGGGAGGAATGGTGGCTGCCCCACGCTGCCCCACATAACCCTAACAGCCTCCTGTTTTCCCAAAGGTGAGCAGGTGTGTTTGGGGTGAAATGGAGCTGACTAGTCACCAGCAGCATCCTAACTCTTCAGCACACATCTGCACTGCGCCCCCAGGACAAGGATGTCACTTCTCCTTGTCCTGCCACCCAGCCCTTTACCCATCAGCCGGGGGTCCAGTAATCAGGTCCCAGTGAGCGTGGTGGGTCTCAGGCCTGGGCAGTAGCAGGAGTGGTGTTGAGCGCAGGGAGTGACCTGATGAGTGACAGCCGCTGCCGGCATAATGGCAGTGATGGTGATACTGTCAGGGTCATCGCAGTAACCGTAACAACGGTAGTACTAACAGCAACAGTAGTACCCGTGGGAGTGCAGCAGCAATAAGGGAAGTGTAATTATGTCCCTGACCAGCGTGGCTCGTTGGCTAGGTGTCATCCTGCAGCCCTGCATAGCAGAAGGTCACTGGTTTGATTCCCTTCAGGGCACATGCCAGGGTTGTGGGTTTGGTCCCTGCCCTGAGCGTCTACGAGAGGCAACCAACCGATGTTTCTCTCGCACCTCGATGTTTCTCTCTCTCTCCCCTTCCCTTTCCTCTCTTTAAAAATAAATACAAAAAAATCTTTTTTTTTTAAAGAGAGAAGTATAATACTGGTAGAGGTATTTACTCACTTGTGTTTATCCAGAGCTTCCCATGCTCCTGAGCACTTTCTGGTTATAACACCATTAACCCCCACAATAGCTTTATCGTTGGTCACAATTTTTATTACACCCATTTTACAGATGAGACACAGATTAAATAAGTTGCCAAACACTGCCTAGTTAGTAAAGGGCGGAGCCAGGATTTACACTTGAGGAGTGCAGGTTCCACAGTACCAGACGTAGGAGCAAGAGTCACAGAGGCAGAGGTTGAGCACCCACGACTAGAGCAGCAGCAGCGGTGATCACAGAGGTGGCACCGGTGGAAGGAGAGTTGTGGGAAGAGCACCACTGGCCGTGGAGGTCGTGACAGTCATAGAGCGTAGTTACCATAGTGATCGTGGTGGTGACGATGACAGTACTCATAACAGCAATAACACTAATAATCAACACCAATTTTTAAAACACCTACTATGTGCCAGGCACTGGAGCGAGGTGTTTCTACATTAGTAATCCTCACTGAAAGTTGCAAGGAAGCAGTTCTGCCACTTTACAGCCAGGGTGACCAAGGCTTGAAGTGACTGATCGGCTGCCTGGGGTCACGCAGCTGGGAGGAGGTAGGGCCAGGTCCTTCTATCCCCAAGGCTGGGTTCTCTCTCCTTTCTGGGGTCCCTGGCCCATCGCCTTCTCTGAGGGGGTCTGAGGGAGCAGAGCCTCTGCTTGCTGCCTCCTGAGGCAGATATTCCTGGCGCCCCTTAGAAAGGTCTTCCTTGTATTGAAGGATGGCCTATTACCCCATAACCCTTGTTCCCAATCCTACCCCTTAACCCGCTGCAAACATGTCCACACCCTTTGCCTCACACCGGCCTGTAGAGGTTGAAGGCAAAGATCTTATTCCAAACTACTTATTTCTTCCAAATCATCTCACTCATAATGTGGGTTCCCACCCTCTCCGTCCCGCTTGCCCTTCTCTGGGCACGACGTCTAGAACAGAGCTGATCCTGGAAATGGGAGGATGACAGAGTAGTCACCTGCCTCCCGCTGATGCTTTACCTCTTTCAATACGGCCTGAGATGACATGAGCCTCTCACACTGGTGGTGTCCTGAGCTGACATCCTAAACCCTCAGTCACTCCCGGCTCTGCTTCTCTCCGAACCTGCGTGACCCTGGGCCCTTTCTGAGGCCAAGGAACCAGGTTCCCAAGTTCTCTGAGGCCCTCTAGGTGGTCACCTCTAGCTTGGGAGGTAGAGGGGCTTCTCCCACCGGTTTTTGGTTATCCTCTCTGAGCATCACGGTTAAGGGAATTCTATATCCAGCCATTCACTGTCCCCCTCCTGCAGGACACCGGTTCAGGGAGAAGATAGTACGCATTCCTCAGAAAAAGGATCCCCAGGTCAAACCAGTCTGTGAAACTCTGAGCAAAACAGGCTCCTTCCCTGCAGAACCACCCAGAGCCTTTATGAATCTTCGCGATGGGTTTGTGACTCTCCCAGAAAAAAAAATGTGCTTCTCAGTGTTTTCCAAACCTGTTTCCTTAAACCACTGCTTATTTAAGATACGTTGCACAAATACGCTCCCTTGAAAAGTCGCAAATTACAGTTAAAGCTACAGTTTCTTCTGACCAGCGACCTTCCCCAGAGTTCTCATCCTGCCTCCCCAGGGGCGTTGCTTGTTGTCAGTGTGGGAAGGACCCCTGCAAACCTTTGCCACGGACACACGCACGTGCACGCGTGTCCACAGAAAGTGTTCAGGCTGTGTGTGTGCATTTTATGTGAATGTATCGCATTCTGAAGAACTAGCTGTGTCCACTCAACAGCATGTCTTTGAGGTCTAGTCGTGTGGAAAGTGAAGTTCCATCTCCCTACAAGGGCTGCGGCGAGCGCCACAGTGAGGGCGCCAGTGCTCTTGGGGTAGACACGTAGGTTCTTTCACGTGCATCGTTGAGCCTTTAGTCACCAAACGTGTTGGTGGACCCAGGACCCTTCATACATACCGTGGAAAACATGGATCCGGGCCGACCCTGTCACTGTCTGTCACAAGGGGGAGAGACAGGCCAGTGTCCCCCAGCATGTCCAAGGCCAAGTGCAGAGCCCTCAACTCGAGACCTGGACCCTTGTTGTGACTGTGCCCCGAATGTGCCCCTTGGGAATGCGCCTGCCCAGCCTCTTCCCATGACAGCAGAGCTGCGCTGAGAGGCCTGTGGGCACCTTTGTGACACAGACCGTCTGTGGCCCCCCCACACTGTTGGATTCACCCCCCTTCTGTTTCCCCCCACAGCGACCTGACACCGGCAACGACAACAGCCCAGGGCCCTCGGACAGTGAGTATCCGGCAAATGCACGCAGCCAAGTCTCATGTTATGTAAAGGCTTAGGTTAGGTTCTCAGAGCTTAAGGTGAAAGTCCCAAACAGCCAAAACCGCCCTTGAAAATCCCCTAAATCACCCCCAAAGTGCTTCGTACAGTATTTTGTTTCTATAACACCGTTTAATAACATGAACAAAAATGTTGGCCTTAAACCGTAGGGTCACACGCAGCAGGGCACGGTGCTCACTTGCGTAGAGACGGACGCATCTGTGGGTCCAGGGCTGGGTGCCGGTGTCAGGGCGGGAACACCCAGGGCTGTGGGCGTGCTCGGAGAAAGCCTCGCTACCCCCTGCGTCTCCTGTCCCGGCAGGTGCTGAAGAGAGCGTTGTGGTTGCCCTGTACGATTACGAGGCCATTCACCGCGAAGACCTCAGTTTCCGGAAGGGAGACCAGATGGTGATCCTGGAGGAGTGAGTCACCATTCCCCTCCCCAAGACATAGCTACCTCCAATACATCCCCTCCGACACTCAGCCGTACTCTTTTGTGCTTCAATAAAGGACCTGGCAGGTTCATTTATACTAGGGTGTAAATGACTGATGACAACCTGATCGTAATAGTGGAGGGAAAGGTTGGTTGTTAACCTGGGTTAAAACCACAGTGAAGGGGCTTGTGTACTCACTAACGGGGCACATCCGGGCACGGATGAACAGAGCAAAGCGCTTTCCCAGGGAAGCGCTCCTCAGGCGCCTGTGACCGAGCTGCAGGCTTACCCATGGACCAGGCCCTGCTGCGTTGACTTTGTGTTCAGAAGTCCCTGGATCTCTGAGTTTGCTGCCTCCGATCTCCTCCAGTCTTCACCACTAGTGGGTGTGGTGTCCTGTATGTGTGGGGGCCCCAAAATGGCGGTGGTTACTCTTGGTCAGACTCCCGAGGCCCCTCCCTCTGGCTCTGGGCCCCAGGTGAACCCCTACGAGTCTGCCATGGGCCCTGGGCCCCACCTTGGGTATGGCTAGGAAGGCCAAGGCCACAAGTTCAGAGTGGAGCCAAAGACCTAGGTCTGTGGGCCATGGATGCAGGGACAAGCCTTGATTTCAGGCCCTCAGATGCATGGTGGGGACTGTTGTGAAGATCCCTACCCTGATCATGGGGTGCATGCAGGGGGTACTCTAGGCCAAGGCTGAGGGGCCCAAGAGGACCAGGGGGAGTCCTTCTGCCCTTGACTTCTTTGCTCTGTCCTTTCTCTTAGGTCTGGGGAGTGGTGGAGGGCTCGGTCCCTGGCCACCCGGAAAGAGGGCTACATTCCAAGCAACTACGTCGCCCACGTTAACTCTCTGGAGACAGAGGAGTAAGTATCCCTTTCCCTGCCCTCCGGGCGGAAGCATGAGCCAAGCCAGCATTGTTCCCACCTCAGGGCCTTTGCGCCCCCCAGCGCCCCTTCCTGGCACACTCTTCCTGGGGCTCTTTGCCCAGCTGGCGTCTTCTCATCCTTCAGGCCTCGGAGGAGCCTTCCCTGCCCACCCCACATAAAGCGTGTCCCCTTTGTGACTCTCTCATTCGTTCTGAACACTATTCACCAGCATTTCTTCCCTGTGCATGATTTGTGGGGTAGCTTCCTAAGGGTGGAATTCCAGGCAGACAGTTCTTACCGTGTGCACCTTGTAACATTGCCCAACTGTTTTACCACGGCACGAATCACATTACAAAATGAAGTCCAAGAAGGCGGGAGGGGCAGGGAGAGCACAGCGTGCTGATCAAGAACTTGGGCTTTAGAGTTAGACTGCCTGGATTTGAAGCCTGGCTCCACTGCTTCGCAGCTCTACGACACCAGGCAAGTTGCTTGTTCTCTCTCTGTCCCTCAGTTTCCCCATCTATGAAGTGAGGATGATAAGGGCAACGATCCCATGGGGTTGTCGGGTAGATGAATGTTAGCTGTCTTTCTCCTTAGTTGAGACAAAGGAAACAGGGGCCCAGAGAGGAAAAGCAACTTGCTCCAAGTCACACAGCAGGTTACGGCAGGGCTGGCGGCTGGCCTCGGGCCCGGGGCTTTTTTCATCACAGACCATGAACCTCGCCCCGCCCTGCTGAGGGTGGGGATGGAGGGGGCTGCTGCTAGGACTTCCCCACTCTGTATCCCCAGGACCCGGGAGAATGAAGAAAAGGTCCAAGGGTATGGTCCCACGTATAAAATGATTTAAAATCTCACATTCTTGCTTAGAAATTCGGAAGGCCAATTCTGAGATTTTATTTATTTATCTTCAGAGGGGAAGGGAAGGAGAGAGGGAGAGAAATATCAATGTAAGGTCGCTTCTCATGCGTCCCCTGCTGGGAACTGGCCTGCAACCCAGGCCTGTGCCCTGACTGGGAATCGAGCCTCGATCCTCTGGTTCACAGGCCCACGCTCAATCCACTGCGCTACACCAGCCAGGGCCAAAAGGCCAATTTTGTATGTGACTTTGTATACACCGAGAAGGACACACTGTGAAGCTGACAAAGCCCAGACCCCTCCCCACACAGGCCTTCAAGGCCCCAAGAAGAATGTCATGTGTTCTTGTGAAACCTGCGGAAGTAGAATTTTGACCACAGCTGGCTGTGCCTTCATGCCCGGTCTCTGTCCCTCTCCCAACCCCTCCAGTCGGCAGGTGTCGGCATGACCTCAGGCACTGGTGTTCATGACACTGGGTTATTTTTCTCAGAGGAAGCTCCCCAGGGCATGCGAGTTTCCGACTCAGCAAACTGGATTCAGTTCTGGTAAAATGTCTGTTTTAATATTGAAACAATCATTGTTTTTCCCAAAAGAATCTCAGAGGAACATCGACGCTGCAGGAAGCCCGGCCCTCGGTATCCTGGCGCCCTTGTCAGTGGGACAGTGCCACCCACCCAGGGGGGTCACATCTGTCTCCTCCCCTTTCCACCAGGTGGTTCTTCAAGGGCATCAGCCGGAAAGATGCGGAGCGCCAACTCCTGGCCCCTGGCAATGTGCTGGGCTCCTTCATGATCCGGGACAGTGAGACGACCAAAGGTGACCCAGCCCTCCCCATGATAGATAGATGGATAGATAGATAATGAGGATGATAACGAAAGCCAAGGTTTATGGAGCGTTCGCATTCTGACTATTTTAGAAGCATTATTTCTTCTAATTATCAGGCAGTAGGATGAGATAGGGAGGTGTCATGACCAACCCCACTTCACAGGTGAGGAGACTGAGGCACAGAGCAGTGATGTACTCACTTGTCCAAGGTCTCACAGCTGGACGTGGAGGAGCCACGACCAGAACCCAGGCAGCCTGACTCCACAGCCCAGGCGCCACGGCGGTGCCAGCAGTGGTCTTATGGGGCCGTTTGGAAGGGGCGTCAGGGCACTGACAGGAAGTGGCAGGCCTCCGAGGTCCCACTCCTGAGTGGTTTCTCTCTGGCCAATGCAGGGAGCTACTCTTTGTCCGTGCGAGACTATGACCCCCAGCACAGGGACACAGTGAAACATTATAAGATCCGGACCCTGGACAACGGAGGGTACTACGTCTCCCCACGAAGCACCTTCAACACCCTGCAGGAGCTGGTGGCCCACTACAAGAGTGAGTTCCTGCCCAGGGCCCCAGGGTGGGCCTATCTCCCGGGGGTCCTCGTCAAGGGTGCGTGGTGCCCTCGGAGGCCTGCTGGGCTCTTTCTGATCCCCCTCAGACAAACAGCTGCTTTGGATTCTCCTGAAATGTTAGTTCTGTTGAGAAGGGGGAGGAGGTGGCATCTCATCGCGGTCTGCTCTCTTGGGAACAGCCCTCATCATGGCAACCCACTGGAACACTGGCCAGATGCGGTGGACCAGGCAGGGAGGCCTTGGAGGGGAACCCTTTGGCCGGCTCGGAGCTGGCTGCCCTTGACTGACTGGCAGTTCTGTTACAGAAGGGAGTGATGGGCTCTGCCAGAAGCTGACAGTGCCCTGCGTGTCCTCCAAGCCCCAGAAGCCATGGGAGAAAGATGCCTGGGAGATCCCCCGGGAGTCCCTCAAGCTGGAGAAAAAGCTCGGAGCCGGGCAGTTCGGGGAAGTCTGGATGGGTAAGGACCCAGGGTCAGAGGGGGGCGAGAGGGGGAGGGGAGGGAGGCCGTTGCTTCCCGGAAAAGCCTGTGGCAAAGCAGGAATGCCAGCTGGGGCAGAAGGGGAGATTTGAATATTAACCACAAGGGAGCAATCCCTCCGATAGGAAACCAAACCACCTGCTATGCAAACACCGATTTACCTTGAGGGCCGGGCCAGTTGGGGTCAAAACTTTCCTTCTGGGAAGGAGGGGCCCTGGATGAGGAATCAGCTCCCTGACAGGGAGCTGGGCCAGTCTACCAGTTTGGGGTTGAGATTACCAGAGGCTCCTTAGGATGATGAAAATAAAAATGGGGAAATGTGGCTCGGAGGTTTCTAGGTGAGTTCAATGTTGGCAACTGAAGAACAGGCCACTCTGAGCACCTGCCGTGTGCCTGGCACCATGCCAAGGCACCATGGGACCCCAGTAAGGCATGTCCCACCCCTGCTGTCCCCTGCCCCATTAACCTGAGGACAGCGGCACCTGCTTCGCAGAACTGTGGGGTAGACGTGATGCTTGGCTCAGGGCCTGGTGCACCCTTTGTGTTCACAGCCACCATGTTTCAAATGGGGGTGAAGACAACTTACAGAGTTGCAAACAATTTAGTCCGGAAAAAAAAGCTTAAAATCCACACATTTCAACTATATTGAGAGCCTGCTATATACCAGGCACTGAATAAGGGAATGTGTCAGAGAAATAATGGAGAAGGTAAAACAGATCTGAGCAATGAGTTAGAAAATATATGGCTTTAAACTTTTCAATAAGACCTCAGATTTGGATTAGAGCTTCCTGGTAGCTCTAAGGCAAAAATGGAAACACAAGTAATGATGAGATTTATGAGCTCACTGACAAGATGAAATGTGGGTGGGGCGAGGGAACATCATGTGCGAAGTTCCTGTGATGGGATAGGTGGTTGGGTGCTCGAGGGGCTGAGGGGTGTGCAGACTGACTGGTGCACAAAAGGGAGGGGGGTCTGGTGGGTGATAAAGCTGGCAAGGTGGGCAAGGCCAGGTCATGGGTCAGGAGAACTCTGGTGAGACTGGTATTGATTTTGAGAGCAGCGTAAAGATGAATGCACTTTAAGGAAAGATGGCGTGTGAGAGAGTGACAAAGCCAAGGTGGTCTGTGTGTCTGAGTGACAAAACCTGAGTGATGTTTTGAGGTTATTCTTTCATCCTTACGGCAGCCCTTCAAGGGCAGTGCTGATCATGTCGACTTTGCAGATGGGGAAACCGCAGTTGAGGAGGTTAAGGGACTTGCCCAAGGGCACACAGCCAGGAAGTGGTGAAGCAGCTTCCCAACCACATCTGCGTGAGCCAGGGCCCACCCCTCTCAGCCCTCCGTGCAGGCGAGGTGGGCACGGAAGGCTTCCTGGAGGAGGCAGGTCTGCATCAGGCTCTGATCGACTCTGCTCCTGCTTTCTCTCCCACTCCAGCCACCTACAACAGGCACACCAAGGTGGCCGTGAAGACGATGAAGCCAGGGAGCATGTCCGTGGAGGCCTTCCTGGCAGAGGCCAACCTGATGAAAACCCTGCAGCACGACAAGCTGGTGAAGCTGCACGCAGTGGTCACGGAGGAGCCCATTTACATCATCACGGAGTTCATGGCCAAAGGTGCTGTGTTCGGGGGCCGGGGATGGGGGCTGTGGCTCATACCAGTCAAGCGGAGACTCAGAGGTGACTCTGCTGTGGCTCTTGCCCTTGAGTTGCCCCCAGTCTGGCCAGGAGGTCTTCCCACAAGTCCTCATTGAGCCCCTTAATATGCAACTGCCCAGCCCCCCCAGTTAACGAGGTGAAATCATGTTGAGGGGGGTACAGGGCAAGGGGGCACACGAAGCTACCAGGAGAGGGGAGTAGGCAGGACTCTGCTGGGTGATGGGAGAAGAGGCTTATGGATTTGCGGTGAGCCTTAAAGGGCAGGGGCAACTCTCCCCCGCAGCCGCGTCCCCGGCGTGGACCGGTGCTCTGGAAAAGCTTCAACAGAGCATCCATGCCAGGCCGTCCCATCCCTGCTCACCCAGGACCCACAATTTCTTGGGGATCCTTTATTTTAGGCCACTATTTTGCAACCATTTCAATTTCTGCCCATTTTCGATTAATAGAAACATCTCACCCAACCTCATTTAGTGTGATTTAAAATCTCAAAACTTTTTCATTTTAACTTTTTTTTCACTTTCTAAATACACAGTTAACTCCAGCCTTAGAAAACCATAGCCTTGGTCATCCGGGCTCCAAAAGCGTGTCTCCAGGAACCAGTCCAGCAATCCTAACGTCATTTAAAAACACGCAGGTTGTTTTTCTCAGACACTGGGAGCAGTACTTTTATTTAAACCTGTTACCATGGACAGTTTTAACCCCAGGTAGCACCAGTGGTCAGTGTCGCTTCCCCTTCCTCCGCAGGAAGCCTGCTGGACTTCCTGAAAAGTGGCGAAGGCAGCAAGCAGCCGCTGCCGAAACTCATTGACTTCTCAGCCCAGGTGAGAGGCGGATGGGAGGCTGGGGGTGGGGGGAGACAGGAGCTCAATGGTCCGTTCAGCACATTCATATTGACCACATGCGGTAGTAATAGCAGCTGTACTGGTTCACACTTGGGAGCTCCGTATGAAAGTATACTTTTTTTAGAAAGATTTTATTTACTTTTAGACAGAGGGGAGGGGAGGGAGAAAGAGATGGAGAGAAACATCAATGTGTGGTTGCTTCTCACATGCCCCCCACTGGGGACCTGGCCTGCAATCCAGGCATGTGCCCTGACCAGGAATCGAACCAGTGACTATTTAGTTTACAGGCTGGCACTCAATCCACTGAGCTACATCAGCCAGGGCTGAAAGTATACTTTTTGAATGTGCCTTCCATTTAGTCCTCACATCAACATTCTACGGTGGGGTTTTTGCTGTTTATTCTTATGTAAGAAATCACCCCAGGGCTTATAAGCTGGAAACAACCATTAATTATTTCTTATAATTCTGTGGGTTGACTGGAGCTGGCTGGGCGGTTCATCTGCTCCATGTGGCAAGGCTGAGGTCACTCATAGACTGCATTCTGCTGGGTGCTGGCCTGGGTCTAGAATGGCCACGATGGTGTCTCATCCTCTGGGGTCTCTCTCCATGAGGCTTCTCATCACTCAGTAGTCCAGCCAGAGCTTCTTCACGGCGTGGCAGCGAGGCTCCATAGCCAAGCCCTAATGTGCAAGTGCTGATGAAGCCTCTACTTGCACCATGCTTGCTAATGTCCCATTGGCTAAAGCCCATCACGGGGGCCCAGCCCAGAGGCAGTGTGGGAGGGGCTTGGCCAAGGGCCTGAGCCCAGGAGGCATGGTCCACTGGGAGCCACCAATGTAACACTCTGACCACAGGAAGGAAAGTGCCACCCCCATTCACATAATAGGAACTTGAGGCATAGACAAGAAGATAAGTACAGATGAGGAAACTGAGGCTCAGCGAGGTTAAATGGCTTGCCTAAGCTACCGTGCTCATTTGGGGGGATACAGCAGGGAATAAATTGGAAAGTATTGCTGTCCTCACAAAGTGTATAGTCCAGACAGGAAGACAGATATTAAAAAGCTGAATCTCTTTGGGGGCTCAGACCCAAGAGGCCTGACTCAGTGTCAAAGGAATGCAGTATCCAGCAAAATAATAATGTACTTAAGTTTCAGAAACACCATGTAAAGCCCCATTTTCTTTCTCACCTTCCCTTGTTGCAGATCCTCTCTCCCTCAGTCTGAGTGCTTTTTATTTCCCTCCCCTCTCATTCTCTCCTATTTGTGGGAAGACAAGTACTGGGAGTATGCAGCTGGAACATTTAGCCTGGCCTTGGTGCAATCCAAGAAGACTTCCTGGAGGAAGTGGCCTCTAGGCTGAGCCCTGAAGAATGAGTAGAAGTTAGTCCAAAGAAGAGGAGAGGAAAGGCTGTTCTAGATAAAAGAAACAGCCTGTGCCAGAGCCCAAAGGGGAAAGACAAGAGCTGGGCCTGGCCAGCCAGTGCCTGGGGCTGGTGAAGTGAAGGGAGTGTGGTTTGCAGCCTGGAGGGTGTTAAGGGAGACCTGCACCAGGGCCCAGGGCAGAGTGCATTTGAGTATGCAAATCCTGGGGCGTGGAGGGGGTTCCAACAGAAGTTTAAAAAAATGTCTAACCTTTCAGAGCCTAGAATGCCAGAGACCTATGGAAATCAAGGCCTGGTATTTTGACTTTAGCGGGCCCTGACCCTAGAGAAACAATAGTCTGTTGATAAAGTATAACCGTCAAACTGGTAGAAACCTTGCTGGGCAGAGTCATCGACTGGGGCAAGGGCCACTCTCCCCATTTTACAGATCGGAAAACAAACCAAGGGAGGAAAAGAGCTGCCAGGCCCTTGTGCATCCAGGAACAGAGGAGAACTCAGGGCCCAGGGACGAGAAGGAGCCACCCCGGGGACCTGGTCTCCGCCTCCAGTCCTAGAGGCAGATTGGCACAGTGCCGGGTACCCCAGGCCTGTGTGGGTCTCAGTCTCTCCATTTGTCAAATGAGGGAAATGGACCACATCTGTGGTTTTCAAGTTCAGAAGCTTTTTTTTTTGGCACAACTCTTTTGGTCAATGAAATCTTATACAGTAACTGAATATTCTAAAATCGGTCAAGATAGAGCTGCTCTGATAGAAAGGCAGGGGCTCATACGTGGCACTTTTTTGCCCTCTACCCCCACACTGCCAGACGACCTTGAGGCATGAGTAGGATTTCGTTCGAAGAGCCAGAACATTCCTACAGGCCCTTCCAGCTCTGATTCTGTGATTCCCTGATACTCTTGGAAGAAACCTGAGTTCCAGTGCCTGACGTCATGGCAGCCCATTTGGTGATCATGAAATCTCACCACCCGATCAACCCCCAGTTCTTAGACCAACCCTGAGCCCGGTAAACCTATCCATTCATTCATTCAATTGACAAAACCTTGAGAAGTAACTCTGTAAATGTGTATCAGGCTTAGGAGTTGCACAGGATTTTGGGGTTGATCCCAGTTCTGCCTGGGAAGCATTGAGGTAGTTGGTTAACCTTTCCGAGTGCCCTTCCCTCAACAGGGAGCGCTAGCAGCTACCACTGAGGTGAGTACTTACATGCCAGACACCACTTCCTAGTCCTTGATGGAGGCTGACAGGATTAAACCTCACATAACCCCTCAGAAGCAGGTTCTGTTTTACAGAGTGGGCTGTCCCCATTTCACAGAGAATGAAGGGAGGCATAGAAGGTTGAAGCAGGGGGCTCAGGCTGAGCTGGTCCAACTCCAGAGTCGCTTGGGTATTATCGCCTCCGATCTGCGTGGGACTTGTCTCACTTGGCCCCCTGAGCTCCAGTGAAAATCAGTAACATGACTGTCTGCCAGTGGGTGCTAAAAATGGTAACTACCAGCATCAGTGCCTGCTCTGTGCCAAATCGATGGCCAAAAATCCAGGTAGAGTAATGGGTAAACGCATGGACCCTGAGTATGGTGGGTGGAGTTTGAATCCTGGCCCTTACCTGGATCAGTTACTTACTCTTCTGGCCTTTAGCTTTCTCACCTGTGAAATAGGACTGATAACAATAGTACCTCCCCCAAAGTACTGTCATAATAAATAAGTAAATAAGCCACAATGCCTGCCATTAAGGTAATGACCAATCCTTGACTGTGTCTCTAAGTACTCCTTACACATCCCCACCTCCCCAGCCCCCCACCTCAGGCCAAGACCTACCTTAACCCCTGGTCAGCTTCCCCAAACAAAATTAAAAAGTTTCAAGTTTTTGTTGGGAAGTCTGCAGCCTCCTACCTCAGTTTCGATGGTCGTAGGTGCCCTCTTCTGGCCACTTTCTGTAAGTGCACCATCTGCTCCTCAAGCTGGCTTGTGCCCCGGTATGGTCTGTCCCGGCAGAGATGCGCTACTCTTCCAACCAATCTCACCAGATTGCACCCAGCTGCAGTCCTCCGGAGCACTGGGGTTATGCAGTAATTACAGGCAGAGCAGTGCACTGGGACTGAACACCCACGACTGGTTTGAGTCTGACATTCAGAATTTTCTTGGTGGTATGATCTGGGAAGTGTCCCTCTATAAAACAGAGATTGTGAGAGCACCTGACTCAAGGAGCTTGAAAGCCAGTTTGCAAATTGTAAGTGCTGTTTGCTGGGTGCCTAAGAATTAATGATAAACTTCTTTATCAAGGTTAATGCACAAACCCTCCTAGGTAGAAAATGTCCCTAAGGAAAAATCCCCCGTCCCTCCATCGGAGGTGCGGAGGCGTCCAGGGCCCCACTGTGGATAAAGATCCCCAGCACAGCCTCCAATTCACTCAGCAGCCATGGTGACATTAAAATATACATCAGACAACATCACGTTCCTACTCGGAGCCTTCTGCTATCTCCCCGTCACACTCAGAATGCAGTCCAACCTCCTCTCCTAGCCCACAAGGTCCTTCACACTCAGCCACCTCCCTCTCAACTCCAAGCACTGACCCTGTGGCAACTTCTGCTCGGTCACCTGGTCCACAGACACCCAAGCTCATTCCTGCCTCCGGGCCTTTGCACCTGATGTTCTCTTTGCCAGGAACATTCTTACTTGATACACTTCTTATCATCACTGAGATCTTTGCTTAAAGTTCACCTCCTCGTCGAAGACTTCCCTGACCACTTGCCCAACCCCAAAAGGCTGCTAGTCTTTATTTCCTGTTATCCCTCTTTATCCTTTCTTTAGGGTGCTCATTAGCAACTGCAGGGGCTTTGCCTGGCTCAGAACCTGTTCAAGTAACGTGTCTGGCACCCACAAGACACTCAGTGGATATTCATGAATAAATGAATTTTTCCTAACCAGGTGTGGGGATAAAGAAGATATAAGAGATACAACAGCCCTGGCTCGTGTAGCTCAGTGGATTGAGTGCGGGCCTGCGAACCAAACAATCCCGGTTTGATTCCCAGTCAGGGCACATGCCTGGGTTGCAGGCCGGTTCCCTGCAGGCCAGTTCCCAGCAGGGGATGCACAGAAGGCAACCATACATTGATGTTTCTCTCCCTCTCTCCTTCCCTACCCCTCTAAAGATAAACTAATAAAATCTTTAAAAAAAAAAAGATACAACAGAACATGATCTTGGCCTAGGTTGTCCCCAAAAAGGGGCTGGGGGATGAGCTCACAGTATCTTCGTTGTATCCTGGTGCGGATATAAACGTCCTGGAGAACAATACCATTCAGTGCTTTTTCCTCAAAGTGTTCTCTGGAAGTCCCAGAACTCTAGAGCAGCCCCCACCCTGACCCAGGCCCTGAGGACCCTCCCAGCCTGGGTGGGTAGACAGAGAAATGCCAGCCTGACTCAGGACCCTCCCACAGAAAAGGGGGAGCGGCTCACACGTTTTCCAGTTTCCTCACACGCGGACACCCCTCTTCTGCCTTTGGGTGGGACCTGTCTGGCGAGGGGCCAGAGCTGAGGACGGGGGTCTCTCTGTTTTGGGCGGAGATTGCGGAAGGCATGGCCTTCATCGAGCGGAGGAACTACATTCACCGAGACCTCCGAGCGGCCAACATCCTGGTCTCTGCGTCCCTGGTGTGTAAGATCGCGGACTTCGGCCTCGCGAGGGTCATCGAGGACAACGAGTACACGGCCCGGGAAGGTAGGGGATGCGCCGAGAGGATGTGTGTCCTTACGGATCGCCTTCACCAACCTCCAAGGACTAAGACGGAGATCAGTAACCAGAGGCTAACCGAACCCATCCCAGACCAGGGGGAAGGAGGGGAGTACAGGGAGAGACACCAGTGACTGGTGGAAACCTTAGAGGCCAAGGACAAACTCTTCCCTTTCCACGCTGCCTGGGGTGAGGGTGCTGAGGCATTAGCTACCACCTGGACTCAGGCTCCCTGAAGTCCTGCTGTCCCGGAATCTGTGACCTCTACAGCTCCGCTCTTAAGGAGTCGTCGGTCACCCGAGTAATAGCTGAATCAACAAAGTGGTCCTGGGGAATGAGGTCCCTACCACACCCCAGACCCCTCTGCCCACTCCTCCCGCTTTAGCCATCTGTCCTCAGCATGGATGTTCCTTGCTTCACAGAGGCCAGATTCAGGGAAGTCGCAGTTCCGCGGGGCGCAGATGTGGGCAGCTGCGCCGTCCTGCCCCCTCACCCTCGAGGAGACCGGCCCTGACTGCTCCCCAGACTCTCGCTGACTCTGCTCTTCCCAACCCTGCAGGGGCCAAGTTCCCCATCAAGTGGACAGCTCCCGAAGCCATCAACTTTGGCTCCTTCACCATCAAGTCAGACGTCTGGTCTTTCGGTATCCTGCTGATGGAGATCGTCACCTATGGCCGGATCCCATACCCAGGTAACGGAGGCGGCATCAGCTGGGGGCTGCTTCTGCGGCCCAGCCTGGCCGTCCTCCCTTGTCAGTGTGTCCATTCGGACTGAGTGCTTCATCCTCACCTGCGATGCCTGCCCCATCCCAGTGAAAGGCACCACCATCCACCCGGTTTCCTAAGCCTGAAATCTGGGGGCTTCCTCTGCCCTTCCTTTCCTCTCACTCCTTACTGCATCCAAGCCACAGATTCTGCCCATTTGACTCCAAAACACTATTCAAGTCTTCCCCCTCTAACTCCACAGCCCCCACCCACATCCAGGTCAACACCACCTGTCACCTCGATGGCACGGTGACCGTCTCACCATCACCCTGCTTTCTCCCCTCTCTGCCACAGGCCATCCTCTGCTTGCAGCCTGAGCAGTTTTTCCAACGTTGTGACTCAGATCTTGTCACTTCTCCACCCCTCAGTCTTTCATGGCCTCTCATCATATTAGGACAAAATCCCAAACTTCTAAGTACGCCCGCAGGTCTGGCATGACCCAGCCCCTGCCTACTTCTCCAGCTTCACTTTCTGCTGCATCCACCCTCCGGTCATCCAGAGTCCCACACGTGTCCCTCGTGCTTCTCGTTCATAACCCCCTACACCGTTTCTTTCCCAGTGTTCATCACAATTGATAACGATGTTTAGTTTAATATTTTCCCCATCAGACTCTCGGCTCCATGAGGCCAGAAATCACATCTGTATTGCTCACTGGTGTGTGTATCTGCGCTGCTGCCTCTGTGCTCACCACACAGTGGGTGCTCAGGCACTGGAATGGATGAGTTTATCCACGTGCCTGTGGGCAGCACCCTGCACTGAATAGGACGTGTGGGCAGACAAACATATATCCAACATATAGAGGGCCTGGGACTCAGTAAATAATGTGGTTTCCTGTTCCTTTTCCGTTGGGATGTCACCTGGGATGTCTCTAGCCAGACAACTGGAAAAGGGGGCAAGGCAGATATAAAGGGGCTCCGCTATTTTAATAAACTGTCCTGAATTTGAGTCCTGTCCCCATCGACTGTTACACTTGGAGAAATTCACTTCTACCCCAGGGTTTTCCCCTGTAATAAAATATAGGTGATGGTATCTAGCTTGCAGAAGTGGTTGTGAAGGTTAAGAATGGAAGACACAGACTCTGTTCCTTCAACAGTATTTATCAAATGTCTACCATGTGTTATGCACTAGGGGTCAGTAAGAGCTGAGGTCCCTGCTGGTGAGGCGCCCACATCCTAGCCTGGAGGGACGTGCTAAACAGACACCGCCCCCCCCCCCCCAGGTGGAGATCACTGCTGAGAAGGAAGTGCAGCAGAGGTGTTTGAGAGAGGGTGCCGTGGGGCTCCTGTGGACAGGGGGCGCCTGTCAGAGCAAGTCATATTTGAACTGAAAAACAGCTGAGCGATGACCTAGGGAAAAGATTTCAGGTAGAAGGCACTGCTCATTTCGAGGGCCTGAGGTGTGCCTGAAGAACAGCAAAGAAGCCAGGTAGCTAGAGACCAAGAATGAGAATAGATGGTAGAGGATGAGGTTGGCAGGGACCAGATCCAGCAGGGTCCATGGTCATGATGAAGAGTGAGTGGATGTGAGTATAAGTACATGGAAGCCAGTGAAGGATTTTTGGCTGGAAAGTGGCGTCATCTAATCTCCGTGTTTAAGTGATGCTTTGGCTCAGTGTGGAGAGTGGATTGGGAGCTGGGGACACGGTGGCAGCCTCAGTAGTGGCACAGGCACAGGGAGTGATGGCAACAGAGATGAGTTGATGGGTTGATGCTATGTTTCAAAAGAAGAACGGATGTGCCTTGTTGATGTGGAAGGTGAGGGAGAGAGAAGAATCAAGGGTGATTCTCTTGGTTTTAATTGAGGAACTGGGTGTGTAATGCTCTGTGGGTAGAAATTCAAGAATTCTGTTTTAGTCCCATTAAATTTAAGGTAACTAGTAGACATCCAAGTAAAGATGTTCAAGGAAGCACTTGGATATATGAGTTTGGAGTTCAAGACTGGTAATAAAAAGTTGGGAATCATAGTTAAATTGTTGTTCTTAAGGATAACTAACAAGTTTAATTAAGGAAATGGTCTCACACATACATAGGGTGACATTGAGTCTGGCCACCTAACTGTTTTGTCTTGAGGGTATGCCAGGGAAAACCAGGCAATGAGTTATGAAACCCTGTATCCATTAGGATGCATTAGGCTGCAGGTAACAAAATAACAGACTAAACAGTAAGTTGTTAATCCCCATATTGTGTCTGGCATTGGCGACTGGTTAGTGCAGCCGCTCAGCAGCTCTCAGGACTGTGTGTTGGTCTGTGACTGTTTCCTCACATGGTCAGATGGCTGCTGCAGCTGCTAGGGTCACATTGTCTCACGGGGTCTGAAGAAAGGAGGAAGTGTGCATCCTCTGAAGTCTCTTTTTGTCAGGGTGGAAAATCTTCCGGGAATTCTCCCTGGAGACTCCCCCTCAGCTCTCACTGGCTAAAATTGGGGGTCATGACCCTGTCCTGGCTCAAGGGAGTCTCTGAACTTCACAGTGGCAGGGGCTCAGTTCCCACAGGAGGTGGAGAGTGATGGCTGCCTGGGAGGCAAGTACATCTGCCACCCCTGGACTCCCACCCACAATCCCTCCCTTTTTAATCCCATGGTTCCTCCTCAGGGATGTCAAACCCTGAGGTGATCCGGGCACTGGAGAGAGGATACCGGATGCCCCGGCCAGAACTGTGCCCTGAGGAGCTCTACAACATCATGACTCGCTGCTGGCAGAACCGCCCTGAGGAGCGGCCCACCTTCGAATATATCCAGAGTGTGCTGGAGGACTTCTTCACAGCCACAGAGAGCCAGTACCAGCAGCAGCCGTGATGGGGGGGGACCGAGGCAGGGCCAGACACTGAGGCAAGGCCTCGGAGGTGTCTCCAGCACCATCGGCCAGATACCCGCTCACCCTTCCCACTCCCAGACACCCATGCTTGCTCCAGCCACGTTTTCTCATCTGTCAAGTGAGTGGGTTGGACTGGACAATCTCTTTTTGACTCTAGCAGTCCACAATCTGCCATTCTCAGGAGGCCTTGACTTCCTATTTCTATTGCCTGGGACACCTGTATTCCAGTTACAGCTGTGGTTGAAATGGGAAACTTTTTAAATAATGAAGTAAATATTTAAATATAAGTGCCCTGGCTGGTGTAGCTCAGTAGATTGGGTGCCGGCCTGTGAACCAAAGGGTTGCAGGTTCGATTCCCAGTCAGGACACATGCCTGGGTTGTGTGGGCCAGGTCCCCAGTGGGGGGCACATGAGAGGCAACCAACCGATGTATCCCACACATCAATGTTTCTTTCCCTCTTTTTCCCTCCCTTCCTCTCTCTCTAAAAATAAATGAATAAAATCTTTAAAAAATATTTAAATAAAAGATACATATGCTAAAAGCTTTACTGACAGGTCAGCTGTTCCTCCAGTTTCTTAATATCTATTTGACTTTTCACTGCATAAGTCAAAAATGGGGAAAGCCTCTTCCCGAGACCAGTAGTGCAGAGAAGGGGTTCAATACTCAAACTGCTTCAAAATAGTTGTTAGTTTCCTATTGCTGCTGTAACAGCTTGGTGGCTTAAAACAACACCAATTTATTACCTTTCAGTTCCAGAGATCAGAAGTCTGAAATGGCTTGGCGGGGCTCCATGCCTTTTGCAAGCGCTGGGGGCCAATGGGCGTTTCCTTTCCTCTTCCAGCTTCTGGAGGCTGGCTGCATGGTTCCTTCCCACCCATTACTGCGAGCTCTACTTCCACCATAACTCCTCTTTCTCTGAGTCTTCTACCTCCCTCTTTCACTTGTCAAGAACGCTGTAATTACACCGGACCCACCTGGATAATCCAGACGAATCTTCCATCTCAAGATCCTTATCATGTAAAGTCCTCTTTACCATGTAAGGTAACATCTTCATACGTTCTGGGGATTAGGATAGGGACTTTTGGGGGTGGTGGGGCATTATTCTGCTTCTCACACTGGCCTGGGGCTCTGGATGGGTTTCTGTCTCCAAGGAGCTGGCTCTGCCAAGAAGACAGGAATGATTTTTCATACTCTGGGACCCTGTCTCTCCTGCCAAGCCATGTTGCTGCACAAGCTGGCAGGTCTCTGCCAGCACTGGGGGCATTTTCTGTGGCCCAGGAGCCACTGTGGTTGTAAGACGGTACCCACAGTTGCGGGAATCCTGGAGTCTGGAGAGGTGGCTGCCGAGAGGTATCTGGGAGGGAGGCTGGGAAGGAAGCAGAGAAGCCAAGGAGGCATGTGGTCTCAGTTGTAAGTCCCTGGCAGTTAGCTTTTGTTGTAAGGGGAGCAAGAAGAAGAGGTGACAGTGGGATGGGGAGCAGACGACACCTTTCTCTATCGTCACACTCCTCGAAGGATCTATATCACAGTACCCACGGGGTCACGTGGAACCCTATATGAACTGACTCTGTGCCCCTGAGTAGCACAGAGTCTCATCCTTAGAAACCGGGTATAAGAACAGTGGGAAAGAAAGCTATCAGTGTTTCAACTTACCTAGTTGGTACGTGAATTTCTCTCTTGCTTTCTGGTTTGAGATGTGTCTTTGGGTATCTGAGCACAGGGCTCCGTGATGGGAATTTGCACTCACGATTGTGGTGTCAATACACTGAATTGCTGTTCAGTAATCCACAGGAGGAATACACTTCCCTGCCCCACTGATGTTGAACTTGGCCATGAGACTCACTTTAGCCAATGGGATGTTAGAGAATGTGATGTAAGCAGAGGTTTAAAATGTGCTCGTGGGGTTGGCCTGCCCTCCAGCCTTTTGCCCTGAAAAGAACATAGTCCCAGAAAAATGAGTGACATGTGGTACAGATCTGGACCCGACCTGCAGCTTGTGGTTAAACCCAGCTGATCCCAGCCTCAGTCTGAACCCAAGCTGACCTGTGGGCATGTGAGAGAGGAGTGCATGCTCAATCTTATAAGTCTTTGAGTTTCAGGGGTGTTCTGTTACATAGCATTATTGTAAAAATAGCTGACTGAGACATGAACTCAAGAGTTGGAGCCTATTGCTGTGTGGACAAGATCAAGAAGTCAATTCATGCCCTCCTGCTCTATCGGTTCACGCTGTTCTACACTCTGATTTTCCCCCTGCTCACAGAAGACAGGTGGAACACGGGGACAGATACAACACCAAAAGCATGATCCATGAAAAAAACAACTGATACATTGGACTCCTTTAAAACAAAAAAAACCTTTTCTCTGAGAAAGACCGAGAAATGAAAATGAAGGAAAAGACAAACTCTGATATGGAAGAACACATTTGCAAAACACATCTCTATTAAAGACATGACGTCCAAAATATACAAAAACCTCTTAAAACTCAACAATAAGAAATCAACCCAATTAAAAAATGGGCAAAAGACCTGAACAGACACCTCACAAAGGAAAATATGCAGGTGGCAAATAAGCATATGAAAAGATGCTCAATATTACATGTCATCAGAGAGATGCAAATTAAAACAACAGCGAGATACCACTACCCACCTACTGGAATGGCCAAAACCTAGAACACTGACAGCACCGAACACTGGTAAAATGTGAAGAAACAGAAGCTCCCATTCATTCATTGCTGGTGTAGCCACTTGGGAAGACATTTGACAGTTTCTTATACAACTAAAAATACTCTTACTATATAAGTCAGCAATGCACTTCTTCATATTTACCCAAATGGGTTGAAAACTTATATCTGTACAAATAACTACACACTAATGCTTGTAGTAGCTCTATTTGTAATTGTCAAAACTTGGAAGCAACTAAGATGTCCTTCAATAGGTAAATGGATAAACAAATGGCGGTACATTCATATAATGCAATGTTGTTCAGTGACAAAAGGAAACGAGCTACCAAGACATGGAAGAAACTTAAGTGCACATTGCTGAATGAAAGAAGCCAATTTGAAAAGGCTGCACACTGTCTATTCCAACTATAGGACATTCTGGAAAAGGAAAACTATAGAGGCAGTTAAAAATCAGCAATTGCCAGGGAGGCGGTGGGGTGGGGGAGGATGGGCTGAGCAGGTACAGCACAGCAGACTTTTAGGGCAGTGAAACTATTCTGTGTGATACTCTTCAGGGGTAGATACATATCATTACATACCTGTTAAAACTCATAGAATGTACAGCATGGAGTGATCGGTGTAAACTATGGACTTTGATTAGTAAGGATGTATCAATATTGGCTCATCAGCTGTAACATACCATATTAAGGCAAGATGTTAATAACAGAGGAAATGAGGGGCAGATGAAGAGGTGTATGGGAACTCTGCACTTTCCACTCTTATGTAAACCCCAAACTGCTCTAAAATATGAAGTCTAATAAACAAACAAACAAGCCAAAACATGGGGATAAATGCTGTGGCACCGATTCTGTGGGCACACTGCATGCAGTCCTACCCTGGAAGGGGCAAAGGCAGGCGTGGACACAGTGCCCCGTGTCAAGGACTTGTTTCAGTCCAGCCTCTAGCTGTGGCTTTCAGTTTAAATGTAGGGAAAGCACTGGTTTCCCCGTGACTTGGAATAAAACTGCCTCCTTACTCCCCAACCTAGGCCCCCAATTTTCTCCTGTCTCTGTCCTCATCACAGTATATCTGACACAAGACTATATCAATTTGCATTCTATTTGTATCCCTCCCCTTCCAGAGGTTGGCAGTGACTGCTAGTTGTCCCCATTTCCACGTTCCCCTTCTTCTAGAGAAACAGAATTTGTATCAGGGGCATGTGACTACCCAGAATGAATGCTACTCTTTCCTTTTCCTTTTGCAGCAAAATGGGATCGTGTGATTAAGTTCTGATTAAGGAGTTGTAAGTGAAAGTGTGGTATAGCACCTTCCAGCATCCTTTCTTAAAAGATAGCTGATGTGGCCCTGGCTGGTGTGGCTCAGTGGATTGAGTGCTGGCCTGCAAACCAAAGGGTCACTGGTTCAATTCCCAGTCAGGGCACATCCCTGAGTTGAGGGGATGGATCCCCGGGGGGTGTGTGAGAAGCAATTGCACATCGATGTTTCTCTCCCTCTCTTTCTCCTTCCCTTCCCCTCTCTAAAAGGAAACAAACAAAATCTTTTTTTGAAAAAAGACAACTGATGTGAGTGCTGGATGGGCAACTCAGTTGGTTAGAGCATCATCCCAATACACCAAGGTTGTGGGTTCGATCCCCAGTAAGAGCACATACAGAAAACAACCAGTGAATGCATCACTAAGTGGAACAACAAGTCAATATTTCTCTTTCCCTTCTCTCTCTCTTGCTCTCAAAAACAAACAAAAAAACAATGGATCTGGCCCCTTGGCCCCTTACGTTTCATCTCTTGCTTTGACATAGCATCTAGGATGTGCATGTGAAAGCTGGAGCTCTCGCTCCCGTAAGGGGCCTGCAGGAAACGAGGTGACTCTGGGGATGGCACGGCTGGGTGGGGCCAGGGTCTCCGAAGACAGCTGGGGCACAGCCCGGGACGGCTGGGCCTGGGCCGGCCCTCCGGACTTTTACGTAAGAGGGCGTGGCCTGTGCCGTCAGTACCCCTTCGACTATCTGCATTACTGTGCCCAAGGGCTCTTTTCCTAAAACTGCAAAACACTCAGCTGCCAGTGTTGCAAGAAGGTCAAAAGTACCAAGGAATTACCACCCTCTGGGATCAGTCCTCAACTAATGATTTTGGGGAGTTGGTGTAGAAATACCCCAGCTCTCTTGCCTCTGCATTGGGATAACTGTGAGGTGTGCGTTTTGCATTGATTCCCAGGATTTCCCCACAGGATTAAGCTTCAGTTACCCACAGAGGTAACTTGCTTGACGACATACCCTTCTCAAGTATAGTTCCAACATGAATGTCGCTCGGGAGTGTCACTGGTAGTTGTGAATAAGAAGAAAATGAGTATGTATGTCTTCACTCACTAGCAGATGACATGAGTAACTTCTTTGCTGAATAAGGTAAGAGTTTCCAGCACAATTTTGTGCTAATCACAATGCAACAGTTACCGACAAAATACACTTCAATTTCCCTTACATTGTTAACATTTGTTCCGTTCGTCTAAGTCTAGATCTGAATTTGGCAAACCATGGCAAACCACATTTTACTGGAACACAGCCACACCGTTACGTGTTGTCTGTAGCCGTCGTTGGTGCCACAAGGCAGAGTCGAGTAGTTGTGACCCAATCACATGGTCTTCACAGCCTACAATATTGACTATGTGGCCCTCTATGGAAAAACTTTGCTAGCGAAGCAATAACGCAAGTCCTGATTTGTAGCACTTGCTGACTTTTGTGTTGTAAACGGTACTACTGTGGCCACTTCAAACTGTCAGCCAGAACTGCATTATGACAATCACGGCCCTTTGGCACCTTTGCCCTTGCTGGAACTTTCTTCCATAAAATACATACTCTATTTATAAATATATTAAATTAAGTATAAATTATAGTTGACAACTGCATTGATATTAAGCTGAATATGTTAACATTATGTATGAAGATGTTTTCTTCCATCCCAAGGTTCATTTTTTTCCCTTCTGATTTCAAAAAATTTTCATTTCTTTTGAACATTTTTGTGGCCCCTAAAAGCGTGGTGGGCTTTTGCACACTGGGCCTCCTGTGTTAATGGGTAAGTCGGCTCTGCTACCAACCCAACGCCGCCTAACACAGAGTGGGGAAGGGAAACATAGTAGCACACCACTGAACAGCAGTCCACATAAAATAGGTGTAAATAACTCCACTGATGAGAGAAAGATATAGTGAAATGATTAGGAAGTGATGAGTTTTAAATATAGAATGTTTCGGGTTTTAAATAAATATATTTTCTTTTTTTTTATTTTTAGAGAGAGGGGAAGGGAAGGAGAAAGAGAGGGAGAGAAACATCAATGTGTAGTTGCCTCTCACATGGCCCCCACTGGGGACTCGGCCCACAACCCAGGCATGTGCCCTGACTGGGAATCGAACTGTGACCCTTTGGTTCGCAGCCCGCGCTCAATCCACTGAGCTACAGCAGACAGGGCAGAATGTTTTGTTTTTACTATTTAATTTTAAATTTATAGAATCTAAGTTTCAGTAATGCCTAGGTGCAACAATCACAAAATTCCTGAAAATTTCACTGTCAGCTCTTACAAGAAGTATGATCCAGCTCCTACACACCAGTGCCCTCGGAGGTCCCTTCATGACTCAAAAAACTACTTTTGCTTGAATCCTTGTCTCAGAGCTGGTTTCTGGGGGAAACTAAACTAAGAGGAAAGTAAGTTTTCATCTTGTCAGGCCCCTATCACTGGGGGTGGGGTGGGGCTTCCTTATACCTGGATCTATTCCCAACTGATAGAGTGAGGCTTGAGATTCATTTGTAATGCAAGCATTTAACAAATATTTTTTAGCATGTACTTCATAGGGACACAGTTGGGAACAACACAGACCCAACCCAGGCCTTTATGGGAGATGGACAATAATAAATAACCAAATTATACCTATATCTGTATGTGTGGCCAGGGATTCCCTCTCAGCAGAGGTGACAGTTGAGCTGAGAGCTAAACACAAGAAGGAGCGAACCACACACAATTTGAGAAAAGGATTCCAGACAGGAGAACTGCAAGTGCAAAGGCTCTGAAGCAGAGAGGAGCTTGTCAAGTTCTGAGGACGTCTGTGGATCTGAGGAGATCCACTTAAGTAGAGGGGACAATGGCAGGAGATAAGGCCAGATCCTGCAATGCCTGGCAGGCCATGGTGAGGACTTTCGATTTTCTTATGAATCACAACGGGAAGCCCTTGAGAGTTTTAAACAGGGGAGAAATACAATTTGATTCTTGTTTTTGAAAGACTGCTTTGGCTGTTAAATGTACACTAGAGATTAGAGCTGACGAGTAATGTACAAAAACCAGGTAGAAGGCTGCCACAGAGGCCTCCGTGAGAGAGAGGAGGGTGGCGTGGGCAAGGATGGCACCGTGGATTGTGACAAAGTAACCCCCAATCAGTCATACCTCCTTAAACTCATGCCCTTGTGTGGTACCCTCCCACTTTGACTCTGGGCTGACCTTGTGTTTAGTTTTGACCATTAGAATGGGGCAGAACTGATGCTTCGGGACTCTGAAGCTTAGGCCTCAGGAAGAGCCTCGCAGCTTCTCCCCTCACCTTCATAGAACCCCTGAGGCCACAATGAGAAGCCTAGGCTATCTATCCCCTTTATGGACTAGAGAGCTTGTAGAGAGAGAGGCCTATCTGATAACCAGCACCAACCACGTAGACACAGGAGGCTACTTTGTACCCTCCAGCCCCAGTTGAGCCATTAGATGAGAATGCATGAGAGATTCCAAATGAGACCATTAAAATGGTGCAGACTGCCAACCCACACAAGCAAGAGAAATTTTAAATCATTGTTTTGAGCTGCTGAGTTTTAGGGTGGTGTGTTATGCAGAAACAGATAACTAAAACCAGTGTGAGAAAGACACAGATTAGTGCATCCTACCTTTCTCCTTGGAGACACCTAAGGATTAGATTTGCTTCCTCTAAGCCTGGTTCCACTCTCTCATTCTCCAGGTACCTGAAACTACATGGCCCAATGTTACTGCAACACCCTTTGTTTTAAAATTGGTTTTGTCTGCCTGTTCGTACAGCAGAGGCATGGATGCAACTCAGTGGATTTGAGTCAAGCCTTAACCCCCTTCTCACTTGTGGGGTTACCTTGTCCATCTTCTTCAACATCTATCTTAATGTTTCCACCATTCCAAAGGTAAGAAGGACTGTCCTGATGACCTCAAAATAATAATAATATTAAACATGTATAGAACATAATACTTATTATGTGATAGAAACTATTCTAAACTTTTGATGTATATTAACTTACTTAGTCCACATAACCATCCTACTAGGTCTTTTATGATATTGCTCTACCAATGGGGAACTTGAGGTCTAGAGAGTTTTAAATACTTCACACCTATTAGGATGGTTATTATGAAAAACAACAGAAAATAAGTGCTGGTGGAGAAATTGGAACGCTTGTGCATTGCAGGTGGGAATGTAAAATGGTGCAGCCCCTGTGGAATATAGTATGGAAGTCCCTCAAGAAGTTAAACATAAAATTACCACATTATTCAGCTATTCTAATCCTAGGTATATGACCCAAAGAACTGAAAGCTGAGACTGAAACAGATTATTTGTATACCCATGTTCATAGCAGATAGTGGAAAATGAGGCTTAGGAATGTTGAGTGACTTGGCTAAAGTCACACACTTACCTAACTAGCACATGGTGAAGTCCACATTCAGAGATGTCTTTCTCCACTAAATATGCTGCTTTTCATTCATTCTTTTAACAAATAGTGTATTGTATTGGGCAACTACCATATGCCCAAAAGTATACAAAAGTATACAACTGGGTGACATTATGTCATTGGATCCTCATCATAACACTACGATCGATATAATAATCCCCTCCCCATTTTTCTGATGAAAATGAAGCAGAACGAGGTATAATAAAAAACAGAATCCTATATTAATAAGTATCACATTCCATTGGAGAGGATGTAGAACAGTCAAGCAAATAATTAAATACGTAGTTACAAATTATTCTCGGAGTCGGGCTCCTATTGGAGCGCTGATACCCATCCCACTTTCTTATATCAAGGCCTCAGGTAACCCTGGCAACGAGTTTTCCGGCCAATAATAAAGATGGCGCCCAAAGAACAAGCGCGTTTACGCACAACCCTCATTACCCACAATGCAGTGGGGGAAGGGGAGGAGCAGTCTGTGCCAGGAGCTAATATGGCTCCCATAGTTACACCATCCTCTCTTCCCCTTATTAGCAATTGACCGCCTAGACCAGAATATAGATGAGGAGCTAGGAGTACTTTGCCCCTGCTGACCGCAACTACAGGAGCTGCTGAAGTCTGGCGGCACTTTGCAGTGTTTAAGTCCGTAACTAGGGAAACACTACTTCCGCTGACGTCATCACGGCGACACGTGGATCCAAGATGGCGGCTGCGATGGTGAGTGAAGGAGACTCCGGGATCCGTAGCTGGAGCGGAGTTCTCTCGGGGATCTCAGGACCTTCCGGCACCGCATGCCTGCCCCGAGCCACCGCCGGAACCCCTAGATGAGGCCTGAGGGACGTCCTTGACTGGGCTTGTGTCTCCCAAAATTCCCCTCTCTGGCATCGGCCCCCACTCAAGCTTGTCAAGGCCTGGAGTTTTAAGGGAGGCACTGGGTCTGAGAAAAGAAAGGTTTCGGCTACTGCCTCAGCCAGTTCCCATTCCTGCTTTGGTCTCCGCCTTCTGTGACCTCTATTTAACAATTTTCATTTCCCAACCCTACCCCTACGAGGAGGCCCCTATTTTTACCGCCCTCGCTCCTCCCTCTCACGTCCAGACCCTGCTCTCTCCGCCTCCCCACTATCCTGACCAGTCCATGGATGAGACCTCACCCCTGACCAGCCTCCCAACCCCAAGACGTGTCTCAGATCTTTTCCCGAGCCCCGTCCTCACCTCCACCCTCACCTGTTCCCACTGCACACCGGTCTCGACTGCCGTTATCCCGGAGCCTTATCCACTCCTACCCCATCTTTTATCCCCGGACCTGTCTCTATTTTTCCTGTCAACTCCCTGCCTCTACACTGGTTCTCACATTTCATAAGGCTAAGATAGGTGTGTTGAAAATGCAGTTTCCTGAGCCCCTCTCGTAAAGATTCTAATTTCTTAGGGCTAGGTGATGCCCAGGGATCCGCAGTTTTACCAGCACTCCAGTGATTATGATGGAGGTGGTCTGCACTACATTTTTAAAACCACTATACTACCCCCTCTGGCTGTCTCCCCTTTCCATGTCCCTGCAGGGCCTCATAGGCTGTTAGGGATGAACGTTTATTAGCATGGAGCTCTTTAGGATGAAGTCCTTGTAGGAGAAACCCTGTGTGGATAAGGGTGCGGTGTGCCTGAAAAGTGAGTCAGAACTTGTTGGCTTCTCCTACAAAACCCTGGAAGTAGATCTCTGAAGGGATGGCCTTTCATTCAGAACCTCATTCTGCTCATAAAAGCAGAATTCAAACCAATTCTGCTTGTAAAAATTGAAGTCATTTTTTTAAAAGATTTTGTTTATTTATTTTTTAGGCAGGGGGAAGGAAGGAGAGGGAGAGAAACATCAATGTATATTGTCCCTCGTTCGCCCCCTGCTGGGGACCTGGCCCCAGAACCCAGGCATCTGCCCTGACTGGGAATCGAACTGCAGACTCTTTGGTTTGCAGGCTGGCACTCATCCACTGAGCCACACCAGCCAGAGCAAATTGAAGTCTTTTAATTCAGAGTGATTTTTTAGGTCTTCCTGTATGTTGCTTCCTTAGCTGATAATTTTATTCTGGGAGCAAATGCCAATGAAGACAGAGAAAAGGAAGTGACATTTGACTGTAATGAAGGAAGCTTCTTGTTTAAATTCTTTGGTGTTGGTTTTCTCCAAACAAGGGTAGGTTATTGGCTGATAACGAGTTTCCCTCCTCCTCTTAACCACCTGATGACTTATCCTTTTTGTTTAATGAGGGCTTCCTTATTTAGAACAGGGTTAGGTAAAAGAGATTTCACAGCCTTGCTTGATTTCTGTGCTGTCAGGCCAGTCTGAACCATGAATGGAGAAAAATCCCACAAGTGGCATGTTGAAACCACATTCAGAACAAGGATGGTGCAAGAACCTAGGAAAGGGCACACCCTCTCTTGCCGTAGGGAAAAAGTTATGTCAAGAGGCATTTATAGAATTGCACTGGGAAATTCCTGCCCTGTTCAGGGGTTTTAAAGAAGTAATAAGTTAGCAACACATATTTCTGTAATCAACAACTTTTATGTAATCATCAACTATTTGTGTGCTGTTCTATGCCGAGGCCTAGGAATGTAGTTGCGAATTAGAGGGTCAAGGTCCACCCTTGTGGAGCTTTTCTAGTCTGAGGAGGGAGAGAACAAGTAAACAAATACATGAACAAGATAATGTCAGTGGTAAGTGAAATGAATATAGGAACTGGTTTTAAGAAACTGAAGATGTAATACACACAGTGACCCACAGAGGTCAGTGTAAAGAGTGCACACAAAAAACTGCATGTTTGATGCAGTAATGAAAAGGTGGGGAAGCAAGTTTATTACAGGAGAATATGTGTAATAGGCCAAGTGGGGTCACAGATAGACTGGGATTTGGTCTGTGTCAAACACTATTACACGGAACTCAGAGCAGTCCCCACACCCTCTTATAAATGGGCTGTTTCACAACCACTGGGGATGTAAGCGTGTGTGTGGGTCCGCTTTGGGGTGCGTGGGTTTCTGAGGCAAGTCATGCAGCCAAAGCGGAACTGAGCTAGTGGACTCAGTGACCGTGGGAACAGGCTGGGTTTGGGGTTTGTTCTTTTGTTTTGAAAGTAGGGGTGTGGGTGCAAGTTTCAAGTTGTAGTGTGTGGGCTTTTCCCTCTCCCTTTTTTTAGAGAGCAGCCCTTCTTCCCCAAGGGTTGGGCTGCCACCTGTGTTAGCACAGTGGGTGTTTTCTTGAACCTGCAGGACTGGAGTTGGTATAACTGAAGTTCTCTCTGGTTTTCCTGCCTTCCTCCTGTGCTGGGTTTAGAGGACTCTCTAAAGTTCCAGGATACCAAATTGATCTAACTGGGTCAGGGGTGAGAGGCAGGCTCATATCTCACTCTTTATGGAAATACTGAACATGTGAAATATGCTTTGGGGATTGTTACTGGGGTGGAACTTGGGAAATGTCCATTGAGTACATTTGTATACATCTCAGGAGTTTAGAAACCTCCATTTGGAGAATAAAATTCTGTGTACTTCTCTCACACGTCATTGTTCATACTGTTTTGGGTTTTGTCTTTTTTCCTTTTTTTATTGTTATCATCTTAGTACCATAAAATTTGCCCTTTAAAGTATACTGTTTGGTGGGTTTTGGTATAGTCACAGTTGTGCAACCTTCACCACTATCTTCTTCCAGAACATGTTCACCCCAAAAAAGAAACCCATTAGCAGTCTCTTCCCGCACGCCCCCTCTCCCGCCCCCCACAGCCACTAATTTACTTTCTGTCTGTATAGATTTGCCTATTCTGGACATTTCATGTAAATGGAATCATATGCTATGTGGTGTTTAGTATATGGCTTTCTTTTTCTTTTTTTAAAGATTTTATTTTACTTTTAGAGAGAAGGGAAGGGAGGGAGAAAGACAGAGAGAAGCATCAATGTGTGATTGTCTCTTGTGTGCCTTCCATCAGGGACTCGGCCTGCAACCCAGACACGCGCCCTGACTGGGAAGAGAATCAGCAGCTCTTTAGATTGCAGGCTGGCACTCAATCCAATCCACTGAGCCACACCAGCCAGGGCTCTTTTTCTTAAAGATTTGTTTGTTTGTTTTTAGACAAAGAGTAGTCATTTGTTTTTAGAGAGGGGAGAAGGGAGGGAGAAACAGAGGGAGAGAAACAGCAGTGTGTGAGAGCTACATTGATCAGTTGCCTCTTGAATGCCCCCAATTGAGGACCGGGCCTGTAACACAGGCATGTGTCCTGACTGGGAATTGAACCCACGACCCTTTGGTTTGCAGGCTGGCACTCAATCCACTGAGCCATACCAGCCAGGGCTGGCTTTCTTTTTCTTTTTTTTACATAGCATAATGTTTTCAAAGTTAGCTAATGTAGCATTTAATAACCATTCCTTTTTATGGCCAAGTAATATTTCATTGTATAAATAGACCATGTTTTCTTTATTGTTTTATAAGTTGATGTGATTGTTTCCACTTATTTGCTATTTTAAGTAACTGGTTATTTTGCAAGCTTTTGTGTTGTTTTCAGAAGTTTTCTTGGGTCTATACCTAGAAGTGGAATTGCTGCGTCAATTCACACTGTTTTGGGTTCCTTGGGTTTGACCCAGTCCGGAGATGGGGAAATGGACTGAATGACCTCAGGGTTCCTTTGAGCAGATGGAGGCAGTGCCAGCCCAGCCCGCCAGCTCAGTCAGAAGCACGGGAACGGTTTTTAGTGGTAGAACCTGAATGGTAGAGTCTAGAACAAGAGACAGGAGGCCTGGACTCTGCCACCAGTCCCGTGTGTGGAAAGTCACTGTCTCCTGTGGCCTCACGTGTGGGGCGGGCATGAGCCCAGAGAGGAAGGGCTCGGCAGCCTGTGCCCAGTCCCAGCACTGCCGCTGGCCCACCGTGCGGTGTGCGGCAGACCGGTTTGGCTTTACTGGTTTGTCTCCACGTAGGTCTTGTGAGATTAAGGTTTGGACTTTCTTTCAAAACCTTTTAATTTTATTTCTTTTAATAGTTTATCTCTTATTGTATTTTTTCCCGTTACCATTGTACCATCTTCCATCTGGACCCATCCCCCATAGCACCTACAATCACCACCCAAAGTTTGGAATCGGTGATTTTTCAGGTCCAGGTTGAAAATTTTTGTGGTTTAGAATACTTACGTTTAAGGTGACTTTTGCCAATATGCCTGTAAAATCAGATGGGTTTTGGTTTTCTTCCCCCGTCATAATAGTTCCTGTGATCTTTCCAAGCTTTTGTCTCTTGTGTTGTCTGTCTGATCTCTTGAGTTGCTCCACCCGCACGTATTCTGCGGGAGCCGTTGTGTCGTTGTGTCTCTGCAGCTGGTGCAGACAGCAGGCCTCGGGTCCAGCATGTTTCTCTGAGGAGCCCCTGTAAAGGACTGTGCCCATAGTCCCTGCAGGAAGCACAGAGGAGGCAGAGATCGTATTAAGTTGTCTCTTGGTTTCTTTTACAGCTTGACACAAGTTCCCCTTTGATCTCATCATTAAAGATGCAGGTCACAGAATGCTTGAGAAGGTTGAGTTTGATCTCCGGCACTGACAGGAAGGTGGGAAGGGCCCAGGATGAGCAGGGCCATCTGGCCACAGTCCACGATAGGAGCCACCTACCACCCCCAGACCTGCTTTGATCACTGGACCATTTGCTGACACTGGTATTTCCCAAATGGGGCACAGTTAGGGACACCCAAGACTTCTCAATTCTG